TTAAATATGGTTTTATGTGGGCAAGAAGATGTTGCCTATAGTGTTCCCTCACTTGTCACGGGTGTTATGTTCCAGGACCACCCGTGAAAAGTGAAAATCCATGAAGTAGGGATATATATATATATATATATATATATATATATATATATATATATATCTCTCACATACACACAATCTCATGTCAGTAAAGAGCATCTCAAGTGGCCGCTGTGCAAGTCCTACTTTCATTTTTGGTGTGTATTCATTCGCTGACTATATCCTGACACCCTTTTCTTTTTAGGGAGTTTGATGCCTCTCCCGCTTTTCTTTCCTTGCAGCGGGTTGGTCTCATGATGTCATGTGGCTCCCCCTCCCTCCCTCCCTCCCTCCCTCCTCCTTCCCTTCCACCTGCCATTCACCCTCTAAACCTGTCCATCATCCTTCCCTTCCTTCTTTCTCTTCCTTCTCCCACTTTCAACTTGGAGGGGCTCCCATCTGCAGGAAAGAGTGAGGAAGAGGAGGAGGAAGCAGGTGAAGAGGAGGAGCTGGGTGAGTGGGGAGTCTGTAGGAGGTGGCTTCCCAGGCTGGCATCTCCCACGATGCATGTGACAAGAAGAGGCACAGCTCCAGTGTAAATATATACATTGATGTATTTATTGAAAAACCACTAAATGGTAAGTCCGCGAAAAGCAAACCGCGAAGTAGCAAGGGAACACTGTACTGGATGGCATGTGTTCTGTATCAGAAATTAGAACTGGTGTCATCTATCCAATGCAATTTTCTGAATCAGCACCACAAATAATCAAAGTGAATCTAAAGTTGACCAAAAACTGATTCGTAACCCTTTTCGTATTAATGTTGGTGTGTGGTCCCTGGTCAAAAAAAATTGTTGGGAACCATGGCTCTACACCAGGGGTCCTCAAACTTCTTAAACGGAGGGCCAGGTCAAAGTCCCTCAAACTGTTGGAGGGCCAGATTATAATTTGAAAAAAGCATGAATGAATTCCTATGCACACTGCAATGAATTCCTATGCACATTGCATATCTATTATTTGTAGTGCAAAAAACACTTTAAAACAATACAATAATTAAAATGTAGAACAATTATAACAAATATAAACTTATTAGTCTTTCAATGGGAAGTGTGGGCCTGCTTTTGGCAGATGAAATAGGGTTGTTGCTGCTGCTGCTTTCAAGTCATTTCAGACTTAGGTTGACCCTGAGCAAGAGCAAGGTAAATGACCTTGGGGGGCGGAATCTGGCCCTTGGCTCTACACTGTTGGATTAAAGCTGTTTGATACCGCTTTCACTGCCATGGCTATGGAATCCTGGGAGATGTAGTTTGACAAGGTCCTTGGCTACAATGTGTTGGTGCCTAACAAACTGTGACTCCCAGGATTCCATTGCATCAAACTATGGCAGTTAAAGTGGTGTACATATATGCTATGGGAATACAGAAGGGGAGTTACATGCTTTATTTTACAATCCCTTCACAATTTATGTTTTCACCTCTCTAGTATCATTTCTGTAAACTATCAAACTATCTAAACAAAGCACGGGCAAACTTGGCCCCTCCAGGTGTTTTGGACTTTAACTCCCACAAATCGGCTGTTAGGAATTGTGGGAGTTGAAGTCCGAAACAACTGGAGGACCCAAGTTTGCCCATGCCTGCTCGAAACTATAAAACAATGTTCTTTGAATTCAGCAGACTGTCAGTGGGAAGGAATGGGCGGAATCAGCCTTTTCCCTTTGTGCCTTTTTCACTTTCCCTGGAAAGGGAGGAAGCTGATGACATTCTCCTCTATGCTCCTAATGTTCCTAACTGTGGTAGATGCAACCCATGCCAGCATAAATCGCTTGCACGTGTTACGCTCTCTTATTTGTTTTGCTGCTCAATGCTTTAGATTATCAGAGAGACATCTGTCTTATTGAAAGCTGGGCAGAGGGGGGGAGTGAGATGTAAGCAAGCAATACATCAAGCTGAATATTAAGAAAGGAGAGGAAGCTTTTTTTTTTCTCGTTTCCCTCCAAAAATCCTTTGCTTTATTACACTGCCATCTAGTGGACAGTGGTGGGATACGACAGAGACAACAGACAACACCATCAGAAGAATGATATCATTATGGTTTGTTTCCCTGCTTGAAAAAGATCTATAGGTTACCAAGTTAGTTTCATACTTATCTTTGATACCATCCCCTTTCACACACTAGGTCTTCCAATGGTACCTAAAATAGATTGTTTTAATTATATTTAATCTGGGAATTCTCTCATCTTATTTGTGTGCTGCAATGGGGAGGTGTTAAAATATAACCTGTAGCCTCAATTTCCAGGATTTTGGTTCTTCTCTTCTTGTTGAACAGGGGGAGGAACCAACTCCTCAAACTAAGCCCTACAAAATGTTTTTGCATCCAAGAAATAAACAGGGACAAAAGAAAATCCTACAACTCCTTTGCTAAGAGCTCCACTCAACAGGGATCAGAAATGGGTGTATCAGAAAGGAATTGTTGTTTTCCTGTCCCAAGGCCACCTCTTGTTCCAAGCAGTCCCCAGTTTGTGACAGTTACTAATAATTAAAAGTTAAACCAGCTGCAGAGCTAGTGGAAACTTAAGTGGCTTAGGGAGAAGTATCCGGTATGGAAGGAACAAACAAAAATGCATCTATACAAGGCATGGGCCAACTTTGGCCCTCCAGATGTTTTGGACTTCAACTCCCACCATTCCTAACAGCCTCAGGCCCCTTCCTTTCCCCTCTCAGCTGCTTAAGCAGCTGAGGAGGAAAAGGAAAGGGCCTGAGGCTGTTAGGAATGGTGGGAGTTGAAGTCCAAAACATCTGGAGGGCTGATGTTGGCCCATGCCTGATCTACACTCTATAAAGGAATTCAGTTTGACACCACTTGAACTGCCATGCCTCAAGGGTGCAGAGTCCTGGGAGTTGTAGTTTTACAAGGTAATTGGCCTTCTCTGCGCAAAAGTGCTGCAAACTACAACAGCATTGAGTTAGGACAGAAAATTGTATCCAGCTGCATTCAATTCTAAAATGTAGTGCCAGCCATAGACATGAAACTACTGGGATTTTCCTGTCTCTCTCTCTCTCTTCCCAACTTTTATAACTTACACATTTACCAACAGTGAACCCAACATATACAAGGAAAGCCCAGGAAAGGACTTTTGAACAGGACAAACCAGTTCAACAGGTGTTTTTTGAACAGGAGGGAATGCGGGCTCAAGGCAGCAATCTCTGGGGGATCATCCGGGATCATCATGCTCCTGCCCTTTGTGGCCAATGGTCAAGCCAAGAGGATGTCAACTTCTTCCCTCCCTGCAAGCCACCATCAGTCCCAACATCCCGCAAGTGCCCCGGATGAGTCATTGGTTACTAAGGCGATATGCAAAACTCTCTTTGAAGTCTCTCCTGGCAGAAGAAAGGGAGGAATTGAGAAAGGGAAAGAAAGAAAATGCACATTGGTCCTAATTTACACTTTTTTGTCACCTTCTGGGTGCTTTAACAGAGCAATTCAATAAAAATAGAAAAGAGTGAGGATGGGAGGAAGGGAGGGAGGGCTTTCAAGAGAAAAGTGATCTTCCCCAGACCCCATAAACAACTGCAACCAGACCCAATGGGACAAACTCCCAAACTGGGAAGGATGGAGTCTCCTTCTCTGGAGGGTTTTAAAGTGAGGGCTTCCAAAATTAAAAAGGGATCTTATTGAGACCCCATAAACAACTGCAACTGGACTCAGTGGGACAAACTCCCAAACTGGGAAGGATGGGGTCTCTTTCTCTGGAGAGTTTTGAAGTGAGGACTTCCAAGAGAAAAAAAAGAGGGATTATCCCCAGACCACATAAACAACTGCAACTGGACTCAGTAGGGCAAACTCCCAAACTGGGAAGGATGGGGTCTCCTTCTCTGGAGGGTTTTGAATCAGAATGGCTATCTGTCGGGAGGGCTTTGACTGGGTCTTCCTGCAGGGCAGATGGTTGGATTGGGCACACAAGGAACCAGGGGGTCCTTCACTTTGCAATGAAAAAAGTGGTATTTCTTCCAACCAGAGTCCTCAGACTGGAGCTGGAGAACAAAGACACTTGGAGGTCTTCACATCAGAAGAGAGAGAGGGACAAATACGCAGTAGACACAACAACAACAACAACAACAACAACAACAACTTGGCCTTGAAAAGGAGGAGGAGCAAGGTGGGATTGATCAAGAGTCTAGACCAGGCATGGGCAAACTATGGCCCTCCAGGTGTTTTGGACTTCAACTCCCACCATTCCTGTCCTCGGGCCCTTTCCTTTTCCTCTTCAGCCACTTAAGTGACTGAGGGGGGAAAGGAAGGCGCTGGAGGCCAGGAATGGGGGGAGTTGAAGTCCAAGCCACAGCTGAGAGGGGAAAGGAAAGGGCATGAGGACAGGAATGGTGAGAACTGAAGTCTAAAACACCTGAAGGGCTGAAGTTTGACCATGCAAATCAGCTTAAGAGGTTGAGGGGGGAAAGGAAAGTGTCTGAGGCCAGGAAAGGTGGGAAATAAGTCCAAAGCATGGCTTAGCGGGAAAAGGAAAGGGCTTGAGGCCAGGAATGGTGGGAGTTGAAGTCCAAAACAGCTGAGGAGGGAAAGGAAAGGGCTTGAGGTCAGGAATGGTGGGAGTTGAATCTAAAACACCTGGAGGAGGGTCAAAGTTTCCCCATGCAACGCAGCTTAGGCAGCTAAGGGAGGAAAGGAAGGGTCCTGAGGCCAGGAACGGTGGGAGTTGAAGCCCAAAACACCTGGAGGGCCGAAGTTTGCCCATGCCTGGTCTGAACCGAAAGAGAAACCCCCTTCCCAGGGAAGGAGACCCTGGCTTCCCTTCCTCAGAGACAGACCCAGAGCCAAACAAGTCTGAGGCATCATCTCCATCCCACGCCTGGCTTTTGCTCCAGAGGGGAAGATGAGTCAAAGGGAAAGAGGGGAAAGAAGCCAGGGGACCCAGGCGCAAGGCAAGGGGGGAAGGAAGGGCCGGGGGGGGGGGGGCAGAGGCCCGCTTACATCTTCCTCCTCGCAGTCGCTCCTCCGGGTGTTGTACTGGAAGCGCGGGGCTCTGGCGGGGCTCTCGGGGCGCAAGGCGGCGTTGGCGGCGTTGGCGTTGGGGTTGGCGTTGGCTTTGGCCCCTCCGTCCTCCTCCCCACACGGGGGTCCCAGGAGGTGGCTGGCCTCGGGGGTGGCCGGGAAGGAGCGCGAGGTGTTGATCTTTCCCCCGAGCCTCTGGTACAAGGAAGCCATGGAGGGAAGGAAGGAGGAGGCAGCTCGGGTCGCGTCTCTGTCGGAGGCTCTCCCTCCTCTGCCTCTGTCCGCCTGTGCCTGGTGCTGAAGCGCCCCACAAAGCCTCCCTCGAGGAGATCAGATCGGGGAGGGGGCCAGGAAGGCAGGCAGAGAGAGCCTCAACCCCGAGCGAGCAGGGACGCGCGCAGGAATGTGGTCGGAGCCCCAAGCCAGCCGGCGCTTCCCAATGTCCCCCCCCTCTCTCTCTCAATCTCTCTCTGATCTTCCTCCTCTTCCTCCGAGAAGGCTGTCCCTAGATGTCGGCAAGAAGGGGGCTTGGCTCCGTCGCTGGGCCGACCCGAGTCTCATGCCAGCAGTTTACGAGCAGAGAGAGAGAAAGAGAGAGAGAGAGAGAGAGACGGGGGGAGAAAGAGGCGTGTGTCTGTCTGCCTGTTTGGGAGGCGGGTTGCTTTCCCAAGTCTGATTTGTGTGCTGCGAGAAGGAAGGAAGGAAGGAAAGGAGGAGGAGGCAGAGCCAGAGAGAGAGAGAGAAAGGCCGGCGGTGGAGCCTCATTCCAAGCACGTTGCGGACTCCAGAGGGAGGGGGCGGTGTGGAGGGACCCCCCCTCCCTCTCCGGGGCAAAGAGGATTCGGGGCTCCTTTATCCGCATTTGCCGAACTTGGCACTGAGGAAGGGGAGACGATGGAGGAGGAGGAGGAGGAGGGGGAAGCGCCAGCCCTCAAGGGAAGGGAGACGGAGCTGGGGCTCCCAGAGACCCCTCCCCAGAGAGGGAAAAGGGGCGACGTTCCCTCCTCCGAGCAGCCGAGGGCGCCTCCGGCCTCCTGCCTGCATCCCAAGCAAATGGAAGGACCGGGATGCCCATTTTCCGGGCTCTTCAGGACGGAGGCTTTGAGGGCGCCCCTCGTTTCATCCCCCGCGGTTTTCCTCCCTTTCCATTCACACACACACACGCCGCTCTCTCCTTTCATCAGCCCAAAGGGGCTCCTCGATCATTTCATTCTCTCTTCCTTTTTCTTTGCTGCATTAAAACGTGCTCCAGCGCCCCTCCGTGGAGACCAGCGCGCATTGTTTTCCCCCCGAAGGAAGGAAGGAAGGGAAGGGAAGGAAGGAGGGAGGGAGAAAGGAAGGGAAGGAAGGAAGGAAGCGGGGAAGGAGGGAAGGGGGAGGAAGGGAAGGGAGGAGGGAAGAGAAGGAAAGGGGGAGGAGAAAGGAAGGGAAGGAAGGAAGGGAAGGAGGGAAGGAAGGAAGGAAGGAAGGAAGGAAGGGGAGGAAGGAGGGAGGGAGAAAGGAAGGAAAGGGAAGGGAAGGAATGAAGGAAGGGAAGGGAAGAAGGGAAGGGAAAGAGAAGGAAGAGGAAGGGAGGAAGAAGGGAAGGAAGGAGGAAGGGGAAAGGAGGAAGGAAGGAAGGAAGGAGGGAAGGGAGGAGGAGGAAGGTAGGAAGGAAGGAAGGAAGGAAGGAAGGAAGGAAGGGAAGGAGGAAGGAAGGAAGGAAGGAAGGAAGGAAGGAAGGAAGGAAGGAAAGGGGGGAAGAGAAAGGAGGGAGGGGAGGGAGGAGGGAGGAGAGGAAGGGAAGGAAGAAGGAAAGAGGGAAGGAAGGTTAGAAGGGAAGGAAGGGAGGAAGGACCCAAAGAAGAAAGCTGAGCTGCTTCTCCAACAAAAGGAGGAAGGAAATGGGGAAGGAGAGGAAGGATGGAATAGTTAAGAGGATCTACTCACCCAGGAGACCGCCCCCCCCCCCCCCCCCCCCCCCCGCCGGCTCCTATGGAGCTCACTCAAGGCTTGCTCGCTATAGTAGCATAGACTTCAGTGATAGACTCAGGACTTGGGGGGAGAAGGAGACACAGAAGATAAGCTAGAAGCCCTCAAGTAGATGGGTTCCCTTATCAACAAGATGAACCCTCCCTCTTGATGTGGGAGGACCTTTCCACCCTGTCCTTTCTCTTGAAGTTTCTCTCCTTGAGCCAACATGGCCCAGTAGACGCTTCTGGAGAACAGAGTTCAAATCTTCACTCAACCATGAAGACCAACTGAGTGGCTTTGGGCAAGGCACACATCTCAGTTCTTGAAAACCCAGTGATAGGGTTGCAATAAGTCACAAACAACTTGAAAGTACACAACGGCAATAAGCTAGTGTGGGAATGTCCAACCTCCTTCTTGGCAGGGGGTTGGACTGGATGGCCCATGAGGTGTCTTCCAACTCTATGATTCTATGGCATAGCAGATGGAGCACTGTATGAGGACACCAGGAAGCCAGCTTTTGAATCCCCACTCAGCCATGGAATGTCCTTGTGTAAATCGCACTCTCTTAGCCTCACAAGAAAATCCCCTCTGAACTATTTTTTACCAAGAAAACTTTATGATAGGTCCAGCTTGAGGTTGCCATAAATTGAAAACAACTTGAGGGTAAACAATAGGAACAATTCAGTTTGCTGCAGTGGTTTGAGTATTGGACTATGGCACAGGGAAACTGGGATTTAGATTCCTACATGTCCAGGGAAACCCTAGGGTAAACTTGGATAAGTCACACACTTGGCCTCTGAGGAAGACAAAGCCAAATCCCCTCTGAACAAAGAATTGCCAAGAAAACCCCATTATGACATTACCTTAGAATCACAATAAGAAATAACTTGAAGATACAAAGCAGCAGCAACAACAACAACAATAGATTGTAAAGATTACATTTCCTCATGGCCACTTGGATCCTTGTTGAGTTTACACAGCCCTGGTTTTTTTCCCCTTCTCTGAGAAATGTCTTCATTGTCATTAAATTCTGATTCAAGTGCAAAGGAGACTGGTATTACCTCCCTCTGCTTAAATTGTGTCTTTCTTTGCAAACAACATACAAAACACAGGGATTATTCTATTGGACAAATTCCAGATTGTATGTATATTGTGGGCAACCATAAAGGCATTTCCCCAAAATGTACAAACATTAGTGATTTAGGAAGTCTCTTCATCAGGAAAGATGTCAGAAACAATAACAAAAAAAGCAGATGAGGAAAGGAAGCGGAGGTGGGATGATCATCAAGTCATCTCAACCCTCATGCTGTATGTATGGAGGTGGTAGGAGAGAAACAGCTATTATTCCACTATTCAATTTCACCTTGAAAGGGCTCCTAGATATGCAGGAATTAACATAAGCAATAAATACAGATTTCCAACTTTGGAAATGAGAACAGCCTACTTGAAAACTCAGAACGTGGTATTTTCAGTTGTTCATGCCATCTGTATTTTATTTGCCAGTTGACAGAAGATACCTTCTATCCAAACAAAGCCGACCAAAATAAAACAGTGGCCTAATGGCACCGCATTTCCTCCCTCTGCACCCCAAAGAGCTTTCATCTCCTGAAGTCTTCAAAGCCAATGCTGGAAAGTCATAACATTTAGATGAAAGCGGGGATCTCAGTTTGTAGGAAGACCTCACATCTGTCCTGCTTGGAGTTGAAAGAAAAGTCTTGATTTTGATCTTCAATAGTCAGACCCTGGCATTTAATTGAGAGACAGCAAGAAAGTGAGCCCATGACTCTCAGGAATGAGGAAATATTGGGTTTTTTTCTTTTTGCATTGAGGCACACAACCTACAGTATCACAAGGTGCAATGAATTGCCACCTAAATGTTTAGCCCCTGGTGACACAATGTGCTACACCCTTGTGCCAGCCGAACTGAAGACCAACAGGTTGGAGGTTTGAATCTGAGGAGAGCATGGATGAGCTCCCTCTTACAGCTCCAGCTCCCCATCCGTGGACATGAGAGAAGCCTCCCACAAGGATGGTAAAATATCAAAACATCCGGCCATCCCCTGGGCAACATTCTTGCAGACAGCCAATTCTCTCACATCAAAAGCAATTTGCAGTTTCTCAAGTTGCTCCAGACATGGGGGAAAACCCCTAAATGTAAACCAGTGCAACTTGCCACAGACTAGTAGACCCATGAGTTTAATTCATCATTGTGTCACAGAGTGCATCCAACCTGATGCTGAATTTTTGTCATTCCCTTCATTAAAAACAATAATTCTGTGATGAATGTCTTGGCAAGATTCTAAGAAGCAAAATGGTAAGTGCCAGAATCTCATTTTGAACTAACTGGCTGGCATGGGACGGGATGGCAAAATCAAGAAACAAAATGATCATTCAATAAAGATAATGCTAGAATTTTTTTTTATCTGTAGACATGTGGGTGTTAGTGGAAAATCCCTAAAGAAAATATCAAAAACCACAGAATCTCAGTGGAATGAAAGTCAAACCATTAAAATGATACATTTCGGTAAAAGAGCTGAGTTTTACAGGCATCAGAAGAAGCAAAATCTGCAAAAGTCAAACTCACTAATGGGGAGAACTGACTATACTGGAAAGGTACTCAAATCAAGCAGTGGGGTTGCACATTTCAAAAATACGCAAACGTTTTATGGCATTTCAACACAGACTGCATCTATTGTTCACATCTCACTGCAGCTTAAATTTTGTCTGCACAAGGGAAGACCTTCTATATACGATTACTTCATCAAAAAGCAAACTTTTACATAGTGGTGACAGGAATGGGGACACCAAGAAACTGGAAGAAAGTATCACCTTGATCACTAGGCAATCTGAGATGGGCAGAAAGAGAAAACATTTTAGAAGACACTGAAGGAGGTAAAACAAGAAGAAGAAACTAACAACCAGTAAAGAACAGCCCCAATGGGAGTGAAGTACACTTAATGGAGTGCACAGGGCCCATCTACACTGTCATAAAATGCAATTTGAAACAGCATAATATGGTCAGAACAGACTCATACAAGGTAGTCCAACTGCATTATATGAGTCTACACCAGTGGTTACCAACTTTTGTTTTTTACCAGGGACCACTTTGACCAGGGACAACTCTCCAACATTAGTACCAAAAGGGTTACGAATCAGTTTTTGGCAACTTTAGATTCGTTTTTGTTATTTTGGGTGCCGATTCAGGAAACTGCATTGGATAGACCACATCAGTTCTAGTTTCTGAGACAGAACATATGCCATCATGTAGTCACCATTTGCTCTCCCACAGTAATGGTGAGGTTGCAGACCATATTTTCATTCTTGTGGACCATAGACCACAGGTTGGGAAACACTGGTCTAAATTGACCATATAGTGTTGTTTCAAAGGCAGTGTACATGGGGTCATTGAATACTATTTTCTAGTTTGGGAAGCTGGTGAAAAATTGAGCACGAGGGAAGATGGCTTATTACAGAATGCATCACAACTAGTTCATGGTTCCTTGGTTGGAACCCTCAGTAGAACCCTCATCTACATGAAACCACTGAGTGAAATCATCTGGAGTTTTGGAGTTTGGTGTCAAATATATGCAGATGACACCCAACTTTATTACTCCTTTCCACCTAATGCCAAGGATTTCATCCTGGTCCTGAACTGGTACCTGTCATCAGTAATGGACTGGATGAGGGCTAACAAGTTGAGATTAAATCCAGACAAAACACAGGAACCCCTGGTCAGTTGGAAGGCAGATCAGGCTATAGGGGAATTGGATGGCGTTACATTCCCCCTGAAGACACAGGTTCACAGCTTGGGGTGATCCTTTTATGACTGACCCTGGAAACTGACCA